GACAATTAATATAGAGTTTGCTGAAAACTCCCAAATAAAGATAATAAAAGAAATGACTACGTAGGATTTGACCAGAGAATTGGAGTGGATATAGCCAATTCTACAAGTTTCCTGAAACGGACAGATTTCCTCTCCAAGGTAGGCAGTTAAAAAATAAATAAATAAAGCAAGCGAAATTCAATTGATCTCCAGCTGATCAAGAGAGAGATTTGAAGCTGATGCTTGTCCCTCCGTCTGTGCATGTTATGAAGACTTCAAAATTCGAGTAACAGCATGAGCAAATGCTCCATGATGATCAACAGACATCCATGGGTGAATCCGTAGATTTGGTCATATGTTGCACACAGGCAACATTAAAAAAAAAAAAGTACACCTCCTTTTGGGAGCAGCAATATAATTAGAACAATTGTTCCACTATTAATTGCTATTAAGACACCATGACTGTGATTTTCGTGTCTCTCTGTTCTTTTTTATTATTTAATAAGAAATAGGAAACTTTATTATTGTGGTTGAATATAAAACACAAAACAGGGAACGAGACAATTTAGCTGATCATTGCTACGTTATAATTTTCAACACCAAAAAATACTAGACACTGTTTTCATCTACTAAGTTAAAGGAATTACGAAATCAATGTATATAGTTCTATTTATTATTTCAGCAAAAATAATAGCAATTACAATTAGTCCACAGGAACTATCTTGTCTTGGAGGAGTTTTAAATTAAATAAACACTTTAGTAATTAATTTCAGCAAATAGAAGAATCCATGGTCCATGATATCCTAACTGAAAAAGGAATAAGAGAAACACCCTTCATTCTAGCTTATGAAAAAAGAAGAACCACAGTTACCATTCAACACAATGCATGAACCCAAATTTGAAAAAAAAAAAAATGACGAGGTAAGTGGAAGAAATATTAACTAAACATGAACAGTAGAGTCCAGAGAATTGACAGTAAAGAACTACCAAGCCATGTATCTTACTATAACCGAACTTTATGCCCATTCCCAATGACTACCGGTTTTTTTATCTGCTAAGTAACAACTACTTAAGTTAGGAAACAGAATGTCTGACCGTAATTAAATGGGAGTACCTTACTGTAGGCATACAAAAACTCCATTCTGACAAATCCAACAAAAAAAAAAATCAATCTATTTGACTAATAGGTTAACATTTTGAAGGCAGCAGGGAGAACCATTGATAACTAAAATTTGGGTTTTACAAATGAAAGAGACTCTAATGACATTAAGAGGAAAAACATCTCAAACTTCCTAGCCTAAGTGAGAGCGCGCCACGTGTCATCATAATTCCTTGTTGACAAATAGAGGGTTAGATCCCATATATTTTGAGTCCTAAAATACAATGCAGGCCCCATATAACTCATAAGGTGGGGAACAAGGGTTGCCCTGAAAACAATAAAGTTGTGGAACTTGTGATTCCGCAAACAACTATATCCTCCACACTTACTAGCATTTGATAGTTAGTCCAACGAATTTTATATGGGGGCATGCAAAATCATAGTACTGTCCCAGCTTTACTGAGATTAAACAAAATTCTAATCACTCCTGAGTGACCATAGTTACCTCGATTAACTAGAATGACCTAACCTAATCGTGATCAGAAGCTATATATAATCAAGATGAATACATTTATACGTGAAATTATAAAAATTAACAAATTTCAATATATGAGCTACCTTTTGGGAATTTTTCTACCACAGCGTGATAAAATAGTCAGCAGGCAAGCTTCCCCTAGCTAATACTTTTAATTCCTTATGAACCACAATTTCCTCCAGGTTGAAAAATAGATAACTAAGTTTGAAGACACAGAAGAAAAGACATCCTAAAGTCATTCAACTATAGCAAAAAGCACCATTTTGCAAAAAGCAAACGTGTTAAAAAAATTTATCATAGATTATGGACTTGGCTACATCAGTTCTGAGCTTGAACCTTAGCAGCGGTTACTTCCCAAAAGACACAGAGAGACATGTGACAGCCGGAGTTTAACACAATAAACTCCAACAATTTAGAAACCATTCCGGAACACTTTTTGTAATCCATAACTCAAGTCCTCCAAAGCTATCAATATCTCTATACTAACGGCGAGCTAAGGTCCTTGCAATGCTATTTCATGACAGCATACTTTTCTGACTTCTATGGTGCATCTTCCTAGATTAAGAAAACAGCTTTCTATTACCACAAACATTGTCCATGTAATTTCTACTAGTGTGTCCCCAAAAGTGATACTGCAAAAGCACTGATGAAGCGCCATTGTCCTAGTCCTAGTTAAAAAAGAGCCTATAGTTCAATTGAAATTACAAACCAAGAATACACTTGACAAAAATAAAAGATTACAAATCTGCAAGTTCTTCCAATCTAGAAACAAGCTAGCTACAATATGACTGTGGTATCCTGAACTAGAAGGGGCTATCATCTAAAGTCAGTCAGACTAAAGCGAGTTGACTTCATCTACTAAATGCACAATAAGTTGCACGCGCACACACGCGCGCACTCGCACACAAACACAACAATGACAACTTCATACACCAAACACCCACATCTCATTAGTCATTACATAGGTAAATACACAATAAAACATTTTTGCTTCAGAATACATGAAACTAAGAAGACCCTACCAAGCATACTAACAGAATACTGTGCATATAAAAAGCATTGTAGTTAGAAACTTAGAAACAATGATACAATATGGCTCTTTCCAAATGACAAAGGTAAAGTTCAGAAACACAAGAACAAGAAGTTGCATTAGGATGGCATTAAGAGCGCAGAAGTTGGTCACATATTTGCAGTAGAAGACACCAAGACATATTATATTGAACCATCAAAGCTATTATAATAGAGACATAGAAATACAGCTTCAAACTCGAGATAAAGGCATATGTCCCAAAATGTCTATTATGAGATAACCTTCAAACATAAACCTAAATATCTAATAAGTTGCAGCCCAAAATACCCGATAGAATAATGAGTTGCAGCCCAAAATAGCCGATAGAATACAGCGCATGCGCATAATAAGGAAAGCTAATTCATGTGTCCTTGAGCCCGTTGCATATCATATGCACCCCAGGAACCAGGTACAGCCCCATATGGTGGAAAATTTTCAACACCACTTTGCACCTGAAAATTGAAAGAGAGAAGGTAATCATATAAATGTATTGACTAGATGAAGATGACATAAATATACAATAACCAGATCTTGCATTTTGATATATGCATTCAGGCTAATGCATACAAACAAACATAAACAGCCATTTGCACCAAACATTAACACACGCCCGTCCCAAGCTACCATGGTCTTTAAGAATTCATGTAAAATAGAAAAACTTACAGGATTAATGCCATAGTTGACAGGATAATGGCTTCCTGCATATCCTGTGGCTTCAGGGTTTCCATAATTTGCAGTATAACCTATAATGTTGTGATAAAATAACTAAAGTTACAATCATAAAAAAAAACAGTGAAATGAAATGGTGCTAATTTAAGCTCCGGTAATCCAGTAAGGGGAAAAAATTACAAAATACAACTGCCATCAACATGTGCATAAGGCATCAGTGTAATGTTTGAATTTTGAACAATTAACAATGCATAGCAAAAAGTCAAAATATAGAAAATATTAAATCAGTTGAACAAGCAACTTCTGCCAGCCCAACGACTTCTGCATGTCCCTTTTTCTAACATTTTGCATCTTGCATTATAGATTTTGGCATTGATATCATTTAACTCAGTTCGAAACATGAACTGTGGAGACTTTTAAACCATCCAGTACAAGAAGAACAGTATAAAAAGGAATGCATCAAAATTGTAAATTCGTTAGAAAAAATTGAACTATTCATGGACTGCTATTTTTGTGCTAAAAGGGCCATTAGAAAAGAGAGCCAAGAGTATCATTGTGTTTCAATTGATGCAGTTTGCCATGAAAAAATGGGGTAAAAGTTTATCGTGCAAGCAGGTTTTTTATTTGACCCACCAACATATCTATCGCATCTGAGCAAGTTGGTTCTCCGTGTTTTGTCCACCAGTTTTCTTTATAGCAAATTGAAAACTTTTATTAAAATATATTTGATTTCAGTTCTCAATAATAATAAATAAATATATAAATATATAAATATATAAATAAAACTCTACAAACCAGTTAAAGGTAATACAAGTATATATGAGAGTATATACCAGGATTCCCAACAGTAACAGCAGCACGTGCTCTCTTCTCAGCATTAGCCATTTCTGCACGAAGTTTCTCCAACTCCCTAGCCATTGAGATCAATTTCTTCTCCATCACCTGACCGTGTTCATAATTCTCCGCATATCCTTTCTTCTCATACTCAATGGCAGCTCTATTTGACAAAATAAATTTGCAAAATTAACCAAATCAAATAACTAACTTAAATATTAAAGATAAAACTAGTATCAACAAACAAGCGCAAGCACAAAAACAAAATTTACCTAGCACGTTGCAGTTCTTGTTTCATAGCTTCAATTTCTGCCCTCATAGCTGGAGCCTGCTGCAAATCTGCAGTAATCCTGGCCAAATCTTGAGACATCCCTTGTACGTTTCCTGTAAGATCCTGCCTCGTAGCAGTGAGCTCCTTAATATCAGCATGAACTTGATGCAGCTCAGCCCGCGTTGCCTCCACCCCTCGAAGATCCACTTCCAAGCGTACAGACTTTTCATACAAATCTCTCATTTGTACATCTTTCTCTGCCCGCACCGAGTCTGCAAAATGAGCCATGCGTTGCAACTCATGCTGGGCAGCTTCCAATTCCTGCTTAAGAGCAACATGAGTTGCGGCAAGCCTTTGGTTGTCAACGAGAAGACCTTGAATATCTTGATGCTGAGCCGCAAGATGTTCCTCAATTATTGCGGGGTGAGGAGGGAGAGGTCGGGGAACCCTCCGGAACTGGGATTCTCTCATTTCCTCATACAATGCAGGATGGGGTATTGGACCAACCCCTCTTCCAAATGGAGGTTCGTGAGAAACTCCTTTCATTGGAAGTGGACCACGATTCCTTGTAGACATTGTTATTCTTTAAAGATTTTCAAAATAATTAATTAAATAACTGTGCACCAAAGTAGAAACCTGAATTCGCATAACATAGAAGCGATTTCAGTGAAAAGAATAAATAAATAAACAAATGCCGAACCTCCAACTGTTGTTGAACAAAGAAAGCAGTAGAAATAAAGTAGAAATACAGTACGAATGGTACACAAAATAAGACAGTTAAACAAAATTATCAAAGTTGCCATTTTTCAACTGAAAAACACAAAAAACAGTATTATGAGACAAGACAAACCAAACCCAGTGCCAACAACCTAATCAAATGTTTGGTTACCGAGAAATATCGGAAAAGGAAAAGAAAATTCCATACTTTCAACGCAAATCGAGTTAAGGCTCTCCTACGTTCGGGAAAAACAAAATCTTGATTACCATTCTCAGAAGCCAATTGAAGATTATACTGTCGGAGATGTAAGGAAAACAAAAAATCAATCCTGAAAATTGAAGCGGTAGAGAATAACATGGGAAGCGAGATTACCAACCTTGTGCGAAGTGACCGCAGAATTGAAAGAATCAAAGAGAGATCATCCAAGCAATGGAGAAGGACTGGAAGTCGATGGCGAACCCTAACCCTAGGGAAGGGAATGGGATTCTCTCGGTGGAGTTGGGTAAAAGTCGAGAGAAAAAATTGGAAGAAACCGGCAATAGAATTTTGGTGGTAAATTTTATTTATGTTTATATTGGTCAGTTTTTTTTAATTGATTTTTTTTTTTAACCGTCTTCAAAACCGAACTTGTTTCCTAATGTTATGTTCGGTAGGAATGAAAGAAAATAAGATAAAATATATATATAGAAATGATAGAAAATAATAATGATAGAAAGAAAATTGATTTTCTTTTATGTTATTTGGTATGAGAAGATAGAAAGAAAATGAGCTTATCTTTACTTGTTTAGTATTGAAAGTTAAATTGAGAGGAAAGAAAAAATCTTACTCGTAAATTACTTTTTATGTTATTTGGTATGAGAAGATAGAAAGAAAATGAGTTTATCTTTACTTGTTTAGTATTGAAAGTTAAATTGAGAGGAAAGAAAAAATTTTACTCGTAAATTACTTTTATACTCTTAAATTTTTTGTTTGGATGTTGATGGAGAAAATGGTAGTTGTAACTTTGCTCATTTTAATGAGTTGTCTCCATTTTCCATCACATTTTTTGCCCACTTGTGAAAAGAAAAAAAATAATAAGTAATTCATTTCTCTTTTCTCTCTTACCAAACAACCTATATTTTTATTTTCCCTCACAAAATTCCTCCACATTCTTCCTTCCTTCTACTTTTCTTTCTTACCGAACATACTCTTAGGGTGCTCTCAACGGTGGAATAGTAACAATGATGGAATAGAAAGGAAAAAATAGATAATTCATTTGTTCGGTTACAATATTACAAAAACAGTGGAATGGAATATTATTATTTTTATTTGGACAAAATTACCCTCATTTTTAAACAAATGGGGTATACAAATATATAAATAAAAAAAACTAAATTAGCTATATTTTTAATACAAATTTTTTTATTTACTTATTTTTAATACAAATTTTTTTATTTACTTATTTTTAATACAAATTAGTCATATGTATCTTGATTGTCATATTTTTAAGGTGTATCTAAGTCACGTTTTTTCTTTTGGCATAAACATTTGGCAATTTATACGGTGGAACTCTAAAATGTTTTTACTGGTGGAAGCGTTATTTTTTACTCTTTGATTAAATTTTTAACGATTAGATCTGTGCAAGTTCATATTAAAAATTTACAACGTGCCACACAAAATTGCTCTCTCTACATATCTGACCATTGAAAATTTAATCCAACAGTCAAAAACAGCGCTTCACCGGTGGAAACATTTAAAAAGTTCAACCTTAGAGGAAGCCCAAACATATTTAAACCACTCCACATTCTATTTGTTACATCCCTCTTAAAATTACAAAAAAGTCCCTACAACTAAATTATTCCTTACTATACTTTTCACGTACACATTTTAAACCACTATTTATTCTACTTATTACACTTTCTTAAAATTTCAAAAAAATCCCCACAACTAAATTGTATTGTTTTTTTTTTTTTTCACTTGCCCACCAATCAAACTTATATTTTCTTTCTTTTAGTTTCATATGACTAATTTAAAACACGTGCCCCATGCGTGCATTTCTTGCAACTTTTTTAAAACGAAAATATAAAATTTCTTCTACAATTTAATTTTACCTATTTACTATCATTTTAATAGTTGAGTTTAGCCCAGAAAAAATAAGTTTAATAGAGCACATTTAAAAAGGATAAAAGTTATAATGGGGAAAATTAGAAAGTAAAACATCTATAAGGTACATATAAAAAAGTATTTAAAAGACTTGTATGAGAAAAATGTTTTAAGCAGGAATACATCCGAAAAGACATTGTTGAGGGGAGCAATTAGGAAAAAAAATATTTACGATGATCATGGTCAGACAAAAACTATTAAGAAAAAAGTTTAATAAGGTCATTTAAAAACATAAGATTTATAAATAAACAAAAAAAAAGTAAAAAGATCGAAATACATATTTTAATCTTATATGTATTTTGGTTAAATATGTACATAGGGAGAAAGTGTGAGTTTATGTTGTAATGATAGTATATATTTAATATGTTAAAGATCTTAAAGCAAAGTTGAAAAAAAAACAAAAAACAAAAAACAAAAAAAAATGAAAAAAGAAGTTGATACTTTTGCAAATAAAGGATGGTGTATTAAAGGGAAACATCGATAGAAAAGAAAATTAAGTATAGATACATTTAGAAAATTATGTAACATAAGCTATCAACGAAGAAAATGAATTTTGAAATAGTAAAACAAAAGGAATAAAACTTCGAAAAAAAAATTATTTTGATAGGAACAAAGTAAGGGAAAATGTATCTTAAAGAAGCACATCGTAATAACTTTATTGTTGAGGAGCTTTTGGCCAAACAAAAATAAAAAATAACTTACATATATTTCAAAGTAAGGGAAAATTTAGTTGTATTTAGCCTAGTGGGGGTAGCTCCCTCACTTGCCTCCACTAGCCCAATTAGCTCCTTTAAACCCTTAAAAAAAAAAAATTTGCAGTTTTCTTCTTAATTTTCCCCAACTAAAATTTTTAATTTACAATATTTATGCTTGAGTTTTTGAAAAAAATTTCAATTATACCACTAAATTTTAACTTTTGAATTTTAATATACATATATTTAAAATTAAAAGTACAAACTAAACAAAAATCAACTATAATATTATAATAAATTCATAATTTTTTAAACCATAAAGTACTTCAAAATTTTAATTAAACTTGATTAAAATAATTATAATGTCGTTTTAGTTTAATTCACGCCCCCACTAAACAAATTTTTTAGCTCCGCCATTGTCAAAAACCAAGATATATAATATAAGAAAATGCCTTAGACATGAGAAGGATCTTATATTATATGTGTAATAGGAACAATATTATGTCTTCCAAAATAGACATTTAACAACAGTTATCAATCATCTCAAAGGCCAACTGCACAAATCACAGCTTCAAAGTTCAATAATACATGTATCGCTATTTATTTTCTTTTCTTCTATTTGGGATTTGAGTTAATGATCCCAAACAATAGCAGTATTGATTATTAAGTATTTCTATTCTTTAGAGATTAAACAAAAATTATAAAGCTGTTAATTAAAAAAAAAAAAAAAAACTGATCGCAAATAAAAGGCAAAAAGCAAATATACATGAACATACACGAACACACGAATGGAACCGAGGAGGCTCGAGTATGTTTTAAAATCTTAGAATGATACATGTAAGAGATAAATTCATAGAATGATAGGAGCTTTACATGCATAACATCCTCAGCATGCATTACCAGCCGTGTTTGAAATTGATCATGTTTTTATTTTTCACATTTTTTGAGAAAAAAAATGAAAACGTTTTCAAAACGGTATTTGTCACAATAAAAATAAAAAAATAGAAATGAAAACGATTTTTTAGTTTAGTGTAAAATAAGAGAGAAATAAAAAACGACTTTTAGTCGTTTTTTTTTTTTTTTTTTTCGTTTTCTCCTTTCTTGAGCAGAGAGAGAGACATTAATGAGTTTTTTTATACTGAAAACAATCTCTTGATAAAACTACCAAACGCAATTTCAAAAATGATTTCTATCTGAGATTGAAAACGTTTTCATTTTTATTTTCATACAAAAAATAAAATCATTTTAGAATGAGTTCCAAACGTGCCCACCGTATTTTAAACGCCTAAACAGTTTATTGTTTACCAAATAATGAAAATTTTATTTATACAACTATTTAATGATTTTTGAATTAATTTTATAAAAAATACGTGTAAAGATAATAATTGACAAAAATATTAAGTAGGGACACAATTTAAAAAAATTATTTTAACTAACTATACATAAAATAAGAACACATGCAAAAAATTTGCTCTCATAGAAGTAAGTGAGGAGCAACATATTTTTAAAAACACACAAAAATTCAAATGTAAAAACAAAAATTACAAAAATATAAAAATAAAAAAGAAAAAAGAAAAAAACTAAGTGGAGGGGCTGCCCCATAGAAAAGAGTTTTGGCTCTTTTGTGTATTGTTTGAAAAACACAAAAAAATTAAAATTTAAAAAAAATCACAAAAAAAATAAAGATAAAAAAAAAACTAAGTGGAGGGGCTACCAGAAAAAAGAGCTTTAGTTCTTTTTTGTATTGTTAGATGCTAGATTAAGTTTTCTCTCTTTCTTGATCATGTCTTACAGTGTGTGTTGGTAGAGTGGAAAAGGGGTGGAAAGAAATTAGATGAAAGATTTTAGAGAGGAAAATAGAATCTTGAATTGTTTGGTAGAGAGGAAATGAAGAAGGAAGTAAAATAGAAATCCATGTAACCCACCACTTTTTGATCCTTCCAAATTTAGAAAGAAAAGAGGAGGATACAATTTTGATAAACAAATGAGGTGTAAAATAACTATTTTAACCTTAATTATTCATCATATTTTTATTTTATATGATATTATTATAAAATGTATTAGATTTGACATTTTTTTTTCCTCTTTTACTAAACAACATGGGAAAAAATCTCCTTCTTACATTTTACTTTTTTCGCATAGATATTTTAGGTTTGTTCTTTTAGAGTTTAACTTGAGTATAATTCTTGAGTTGAATTTGAGTTATAACTTTAGTTGAACTTATAACTTGAGTTTGTGTTTGGTTGTGTACATTTAAGTTATGATTTGAGATAAGAATCTTTTTGAGTTTGTGTTTGAGTGAATCAAAACTTGAATTTGTGTTTAGATAATATTTTAATAAAAACTCAATGCTGATGAAAAATTTTAATATGGTATATGGGTCGGGTTTTATTCGTTTTTTCGTTGTCAACGCATAGAAAAAAAAAATCATCTCAATCAGAATTAAACCGAAAAAGTTATAGCATTTTTAAGAATAGAAAAAATATTGTTCATTAATTTGAGTTCGAGTTTCTGAACTCGAGTTGAAGGGGAAACTTGAACTCGAGTTTTAGTCCTAAACTCGAGTTTGAACTCGAGTTTAAACTCGAGTTTAAACTTAAAAGAACATGAACTCGAATAAAGTTGTAACTCGAGTTGTATTTTTTTGAGTTTTTCACTCAAAAGAACAAGCCCTTTATTTCTCAT